TGAAGAAAAGTATTCTTCATGACTAAGTTCCCCGAGAACTGTTATAAACTCTTTTCTGGAATAAGTGGTTTGACTATGGAGAACTATTCAATGATTGAGATTAATTATTGAAACCTCATCAACTTCTCTAACGATTCTTTTCGTGATCTATTCAAAAGAGCATAAATGAAAACAAATAAAAAAGGAGATTATTAGTTTCGTAAAAAATAATTATATTTGACGATGAATTTGTTTTTGGAGTAAATTCTGATTTACCAAATTGAGTTTTCTAGTTAATTTTTTCACATATTCGTTATTATTAGAGTTTATAAAGACTATTACAAACTGCAATTTTGAAAAACGTTCAAGCTAAAGGTTCCAAAATTGAGCAATACATTCACAAAGTACTTAGATGATTAATCTTTATGTGCCACTCGCTACCTTCATTCATTTTATTTATAGAATAAACAAACTATCAGTCTTTATTGCATACATAGACTATTGTCGAGAAGGAAAATACCCAATATATGTATGTTTTCAAATGAAAAGAAACTATACCATGACTGGTTCAATATCAGACCAAAAGAAGAGACACACAGTTTATGAGAATATTGTATTGTTGGAATCTAATTTTTTTCTTAAGTTTTTTTTTTAATTAAATTTCCATGTTATGATGAGAAATAGCGCCATCTGTATTAGATTTTGAAAATTATTTTGCGGTCGCACAAATACACGAGCGACATCAAAATCTTTATTGACGAGTATAAACTTTTTGATTGGTAAACGATTTGAGATATCGGATTCGAATCGAATCGTTCAAAAGAACGCGAAGATAGTTTGGGTAACAAATAAAGAAACAATCGACACGAAATAAATTTCTTTTATCGAAAAAATTACAAGAATAGTTTCGTGTCTTCTTTAGATCTTGATTGATTTACTTTCGTTTATACATATCGACAATGGTTTTCTTTTTCACAAGCAATGGTAAAATATTTCGCAAGTGTTTAAAATAATTTTTACTTCCTTGTCTATAGTTGTCGATTCACCATATACAATCTATATGGGTCGAGATAAATATGAAAGTAAATTATAAATTTTATTATTTTATTGACAACCATGAAATTATTTCTTATTAGATAATGAATTATTGAAATATTGTTGGCCAGAAGATATATGGTTCGTAGATGACTATGATTTTGTTTTAATAATCTTAACATTCTGATAACTTAAGGTTTCATGTTAGTAAATTATCATCAGCTCATGTTTATTTAAGACTTAAGAAGGTAATTATTAAGAATTATAATGCTTAAAAAAGATTTTTTTTTTTTGGTTATTTAGGATGAAAGTATTGATAATATACCTCCGCTTGTTCTAGAAGATTGTTGTCAATTAGTTAAAGCTAATAGTATTGAAGGATGTAAACTAAATAAAGTTGATATAGTTTATACACCTGTTGATAATCTTCGACAAACAAATGATATGGACGTTGGTCAAGTTGGATTTCATGTTGATAAGAATGTAAGATTATTCTGATTGTCTCAAAAATTATCTTGTAGATGAAAATAAATAGATTACTTTTTCTTCATAAGTTTATCTTGTATAATCTCCTTAGTATAAATTGACTGTCGTACGAGAAAATGTATTATAAAGTTTTCCTACAAAAAAAGGGAATGTCTAAGTTTAAGGCAGCCTATGTGATATAATGATAAAGAAAGCTTTATAAACCATTGTGCTCTGTGACAAACAGGTGATCTATTCAGAAAATCATACATTCAGTAAGTTGTTAGTACCTTTTTTTTCTAGTTTTATATTTCAACCTTAAACTTTTCTCCAATGTCATGTATAACGAAATTCTTCATCAAATGATTTGCTTTTATGCATGAATCGATCAAAAGGCATTTAGCTACTTCGACAAAATATCTCTTCTATTTTTAGAGGTTATTTTTTAGAGAAATATCAAATTTCAGATTTTATCAGAAAGGTTGTTAATTATTCATATAACCGTGAATATTATTATGTTTTCGCATTTCGCAACACAAAATTAACTAGAAAGAAAGTAATTTTAGAATTACTTTTTTCTAGTTAATTTTGTGTCGCGAAATACGAAAATATACAGCTGCACAGAATGACAACATAATTATATTCACGGTTATTTTCGAAAAATGAATAACTTTTCTGATGAAATCTAATATTCGAGGCTTTTCGAAGTAACTAAACGCATTCTATAGAATTATTCATAAAAGCATGACAAAAATAGTTTGTTACAGAGTACAATGTATTTTAAGTTTGATTGTATTTTTTTTTTTTATGACAAATTTCATAATGTATCTTTTCGTAAGATAGTCAATATATATTACAGTAAAACCTATCTACAGTGAAAACCATCAGGACACTCCAAAAGTGTTCACTTTAAGAAGGTATTTATTTTAGAGAGATGAAGCATGGCTTGCTATGAAATGAAGTAAAAGTTCGAGAAAATCTGCTTCTATATTAGTCATTGATAAAGACTCAATTATTGATATTCTTATTCATCTATTTTCATCTGAATGATTTGGATTGAAAGGGTCTTCAAGAGCAATATAAAATTTAATTGTTTTGAAAAAAATTCTCTAATGTTCTTCATCATTTTACTTTTAACTAAATTTTGTTTACCTTACTATGCAAACCATTCGTAGACTTGATTATCTAGTTTCCGTGCATTGAAACCTTTTAGTACTCATCTAACACTTTGACTTGTTTCATAATCATTTAAATATTCTCTTTTATGTTTCAAAATATTTGATACATGGTTGAATGATGTATTATACTTTATTTAGCCAATTTTTTTCTTGCAAATTAAGCTCGTATCGTGATATTGCTCTTTACTTTTCATGTACAACAGTCGAATCATGCACAAAATATACATACTCGTAGTGCACACGAAACAGGTGGCAGAAAATAGAAAAAGGTGAGAAAAAACATGTTCACATTAGCAAGAAACATTTACAGCGAAAACCACATTGTCGAACTCGACACTGTTCGCAATTAGAAGATGTTTATTAGTAGAAGTTTTTCCTGTATAAGACTATACAAGATAAAATTATTAAGAAAAACTGATTTATTTATTATGGATCATTCGATATTAATGTTTTGAATTATATTTTATAGGTTAAACAATATGTTGTAAGCAAAAAACAAAATGAAATTGTTAATCGATTAAATAAAACGAAAAATGAACTTTCAATAGAAGAATTTATTGTATGATATTTTTTGTTTTAAAAGAAATGACTTCGAAGGTATGTTTGATATTTTAGAGTCAACGAGAACAACGTGATAATTTGGAACGAGAAGAGAAAAAACGTTTAATGAGAGAACAAAAACAACGAGATAAAGAAGAAGAAAAACGTCGACAAGAAGCAGCTGAATTAAGGTTGAGAAAAAAATGCATTTTTATTAAAGAAATAATATTATTCTTTGTTTTAATTTCTAGAAATTATACAGCACTTATGCAATCAGATAAGATGCGATCGAATAAGGTATTGTTTTACTGTTAATATTCCAAAGAAAAAGATTTTAGCAGTACAGATTCTTTTAACTTAGAAAGTAATAATTATCGTCGATAAGTATTTATTTCGTGATTTGATGACTAATTTTGAAAATGTTTATCATAATGATTTCAAAGTATTGAAGACTTCGTACTGGGATTCAAGGACAAAACAAAAGTAGCTGATTCCTTATGTTAAAAATTTTCTCCCAAAGAAGCCTCTTCATGTCTCAAATCTCTTTTTGATCGAGACAACGTTCATCAAATGAGTAATGGAAAAGTCTAGCAAGATTCAGTTTTTCCAAGCCTATGTTCTTGAGATATTTAAATTTTACTGGATTTTTCAACACGAGATGAGATTTGCAATATTCGAAATTCTCGCATATGTAAAAGTAAATTTGTATTTTCAGAAGAAAGATAGTGAAAAAGTTGAAGTTTACTCAATGAAGTAATCTCATTGAGAATTTTCGTCATGCAAATTTTGAAGTCGAAGTTTGATTTTTCACGTTACCTAAGGAGGAACCACAGCTTTTTGCTCAAAAAACTCAGTAGAATTTCCATATCTCAATAACGAAGACTCGGCCAATCAAACCATTCCAGACTTTTCGATTACTTATTAGCACTCATCAAGTGAATAACGTCTTGGTCGAAAAGCTGTGTGATACCTGTAAAGGTTTTCTCGCTAGCTAATTCAATGAAACATTTATTGATACTTATTTCGAACAAATCTCAGCAAATATCTTTTAACTATATTCTTTCCATTTTAATCAATATACCCAAAAGACGCAAAGAAGATGCTTGAGTTTCGCTGAGGAAAAACGAAAACTTTCCAAGATAAGCGGAAAAGTTACCCGCCAATCTACACTCGGTTGGGACAACCTTCGACATTGTTTGTTGTCATTGTATGCCTCATCAATTATTAAGAATATCAAATATCATCAATTATTTTTTTTCATCCTACAAAAAAGTCATGCATTATTTTCTCTCATAAATGTAAAATCACATTTGATGACTTAATAAGGATTATTGAACTGTATTTATGCTTTTACAGCTAATAGATCATATGACCTGACAAATCCGCTCTTCTACACGAATATATCATCTAGATAAGTAATATTAAAATTACGATTGTTTATATGAAATAGAAATATTTTTTTGCGTTCTGTTTGAAAGAAAGAACGAAAATAAGAGTCACACTTTTTGGTGTCACAAACTTGAATGCCTCGTGAAAATTTCGACTGTGTTCGGTAGTTATTTAGGTGTAATAGAAGACGAAATACATAATATACATTTAGAAAATCAATTACAATATTCTTTTTATAGGATGGTAATGAATCGGATGAATTCATGTAATTGGACTTCAATTTACATTGTAAATTGCTTTCATTTTTATTGTTTATCATTTTTGTTTTTATTTTTTTTTCTGTTTGCTTCATTTATATTAATAAAAGACTTTTCTTGTTCTTACTTCTTATTTTTAGATGAGAATTTTTTGAGTATGACAACTAATCATAAACCATTATCAATCATTGCTAAATGTGCATTATGTTCAATAAAAACAGAACTGTTTGTTTGTTCACATTGTGATAAAGTTATTTGCCAAATATGTATTGATAAACATCAATTAAAACTTAATGAAACACTAAAAGAACAATGGAATTTATGTAAAACAAAATATTTTAATTTATTTCGATTATCAGGTTGAAATTAATAAGTCGAAAAATTATTTTGTAAATGAAATTAATTTTTGTTTTATATAATTAGACAACAATGCTAAAGATATGGAAAATGTTGAGAATGAAATTGATCGAATACGTTTATTAATTAATCAACGATATATGGATTTAGTTAATTTACTTGAGCAGGAGAAAAATAATTTATTAAATAAAATAGAAGAGTATATTCAATTAAATTTATCTAAGTGAGTTTTAAATAATGAATTTATTAAGTAATCATATTTTGAAAAAAAAAACGACAAAATTATATATTTTCTTAGCGTTAGCCATACAGATCTGCAACAAATATTTGATTCGATTAATCAACGACTTAATTCTATATTTGAGTAAGAAGATATTCGAAATATTAATTAGTATGTATATATATATATATGTATGTATAGAGATCCTAATGCTTCATATGATACTGATGATTTTCTTTTGGAAGTCGAACATTTCAATAGGCTGATGTACAGTCGAGAAAAACAGATACAGACAAATTCACTTAAAGTATGTTATTAATAATAATATTCTTTGCTTAGAATTCTTTGAAAAACCTCACAAGAGAACTATTCGAAGTGATCTTTGATGCTGAGTTATGATTAGTTTACTGGATTTTTGACAGAATTTTAGATACTTCTCGGAAGATTGAGTAACGGCGTTTCGATCTAAAATTTTCCCTTTAGATAGATCTAATGACTCTTAAAATATTCTGAAAGTTACAATAAAAAAAAAAGAAACGTTTCTTCATCGAATTACTGAACTTTTAGGTAAACTCTATTTTGTGACCAAGTGTAGTTTTTGAAAATTCAATATCTGGACAAACGGACATTGTTTCCGGCTAAAACTGTCAGGATATTCTAAGAGTCATTACAGCTATGTATAGGCAAAACGTTAGATCGAAATTCTATTATTTGATTTTCTGGAAATTACCCACTGAACTAATCGCAATTTCACGGCAAGTTTTCACAGAGACGAACCGTTTAGACTTTTGCTAATCTCATCAAGATCTGTTTGTGGGTTCAATATGAACTCAAACGGCAAGTGTCATTTAGAGTAGTGTCTTCGTCAGTAACACTGCTTTAAATGTCAAACATATAAGAGTGATACATTCGCTGCTCGTAGAGTGAAAGATGTTTGAATAATTTTAAAAAAGTTAATCATTATCATTATACTCTAGGGTATTAGATGTGGAGAAAAACCTGTTAATCTATTTTTGAATATTAGCGCGATCAAGAAATACGGAACTTTTTCAACAGAAAAAAATATTGGAACTTGGAAGCAGAAGTCTGTTAGTTGGCTTTGTCTCGAACTAGAAAAGTTCGGTCACTGGATCCGATTATCGAATCCTTGATTACAAATTTCCACTTTGTTTCTGACTGAAAATTCACGGAACTGGCTGCCGAAGCCATTTGCAAGAGTAGAAGATGCATAGATATATTTATTTCATTTTTTTATAGTATCCTTGTTTGTCCCCTGCGAAACCGATGAGTATATCTGATATATTTGGTGAATTACAATGGAATTCTACACCAATGTCAAATCGTACATTGACTAGATCATCAATGAGTGATAGTCCAACTTTAAATTCAATAATAAATGGACATAATCCTACTGAAACTATTAATGGATTCCAAGAGGAATCGACCATTGTATCACAGAAAACAACATCAATGCCTGTAGTACAAAGACAAAAACAATGGACAATAGATGCAGCGGGTGTACCCCATTTTCTATGTGTACTTTCCAAGAAAAATCATCTTCTTTTTGCTTGTGATAAATTTGGTTCTATTGATTTATATCAACTTGATAGTAATGAACCGAGTACTAGTCCTCGTCATTTACGACAATTTGAACTTTTTCCTGGAAATACGACTAATCCACAACCACAAATTATTGAAACATTTACTGTTTATACACCATTTATTGTAGTTGCAGCTCGTATGTTGAAATTTAAAATTAAACTCGAAGAAACAAAAAAAAAATTTCTTCTTTTTTTTTCTCTCAATCTAGATTTAAATGATCAAGCTGATACAAGTTCAATATATTTTTTTGATCATCGTGGTTTAAAACAAGCTGATACATGTTTACAAAATTTTCCTGTTCGACAACTTTCAGCTGATGTTAGTTTTAAATGTTTATGGGGTATTGATCGTCATCAACATGCAGGTATATTAGATTTTCATACAAGTTCACTGAAATTAACACCTTTACTCATATACAATACTAAATGGAATTTTTTTGACGATCACGTTTCAAGTGTAGCTCAGACATAACACTATCTTTTGACTAGTGGTTCGTATTAAAAATACAATCAATATTCATACCATATCCACAAGTAATTCCATTTCGTAAGGTCATTTCATAGTGAAATTGGTCTTCTAACGAGTTGAAGTAGTCAATTTTAGTTGGATAAAGTTTTTCAGGCAATCGTTTGATTGAGTTATTACTCTTGAAATATGTTTAGAAAGAACTGAATCTGTATGAATGGAAAGAGTAGAATGTGTGTTACATCAGAGTAACTAAAACTTTTTAATATCACATTGCTTATGAAGTAAAATGACATACAATAGATTCTACTCATGTGAACACTTTTGTATTTTATGTAACACGATCTAATAGAAGTGTTGAAGTATAGTAGTAAAAATATGAACTCATCCCTCAGATCATGACAGACATAGATATGGCAACAGGTAATATATTAATAATGTCTCTTTATAATATATGAACTATTTCCCGTATTGCAATCACTTATGCAAATCAACAGATGCGATGTCTTTATTTCAGCATAGAAGCAAAATCTCAATGCAAAGTTTCAAGTCGAAATTCGAAAATCAGTGTTTTCTGTCACCACGATATTTCTTTAAACAGATAATGTAAAATAGCAGTATTACTGCAACATTAAGTTAAGGATGAAAAGTTTTTTTAGCATAATCCTAGCTTATTTTGGAGTCACATGATGCATATAATCTCAAGGCAAAACTGTTTGGACAGTTGAAGAACTTTCCTTATTATAAATCAAGTTTTCTGTGGATATTGTATAGAAATGGATTGTACTTTTGATAAAAATTGTCTCATAATAAAGAATTTTATAATCTATTCATACCTGAAACAGAATCGTCCTGATTTCTTATTCTAATTTCTATAGTTTATTATAATCAATTACCAATGAATGTTCAACAAATTCCAACTTACATAGAACATCGTGAAGAATTTATTAAATTTAATCGGAGTTTTGAACCAATAAGGTAACATTTCAAGTCTATGAGTAAATTTAATGAAAAATAATGAATAATAAATAAAAATTAATAGAATAGCTCAAAATCAAACATCTATTGCTATTGTTGAACGTAATTCTCAATGTGCACACATATTCAATAAACAAACAAAAAAACAAATAGATGAAATTGAAAATTTATTACGTACAAAAGGAATATTTCGTTTATGGAATGTTCTAGTGAGTGTAATTAACTAGAAAATAAAATAATTTTTCTTTTATTTATTTAGCTTCGTGATGATAATTCAATGGTACTTAAATTGGATGAAGATTTACCTCCCAATAGTCGACCACCTTCAATAAACCATCTTGTTCTGGAACTTGATCCTAAAGGTAAACCTATATCACAAATTGAACGAACATCTGTTTATGGTCTTGCTATTGGTCCAAATCAAGAAATTTTACTTGGTTGTAAAAGACATCAACAGAATGGATTAATTGAATGTTATATTTAAATATTTAATTTTGATTGTTCAGGTATTCGAAACACATTATTTCTTTAAACAATCAGAGTCGATATTAAATCTGTTTTCTTTTTAGAAAAGCAAATATGATTAAAGAAGAAATATCTTAAAATATTATCTTTGTTGCAAGTCTGCAACAATGTTTATTTTCAACACATATTTTTCTACTGTTCTTGACTACACAATAGTGTGCCACTTTTTTTTTTCTTTTTCTGAGAAGAATGAACAAACGCATGCGCATGATTGCTTTTGTTTTTATATAAAACAATCACTTTTTTTTAGATGTACATGTTCACTTAACTTTATTTTAAAATAAAATGTCAAATTCAGAAAACTGTCCAAACTGGTAAAATTACTAATTAACTTAATATATTCATTTGCTTGATTTCCTTTATTTCATTTAGTGATAATATCTATGGCAATGAACCACGTAAAATTCCATGGTAATATTAAATTTCAAAAAAACTTTGATAATCTTTTTTTTTTCCTTTCTTTTCTTATCAAGTGGTCATATTGTCTGTCATAAATGTTGTCTGGATTTATTTAATAAAGAAAATAATACTTTGATTTGTCCTGTATGTGGTGATACACATACATTTAAATCAAAAAATACATTTAAAAAAACTTTACAACAAGTAGCTCATTCTGGTTTTGGAAAAAAGACAGCAACACGTGAAATTAGTTTTGCATCAACAATGGTAAGGCAAAAAATAACAAGAAATCATTTATCAATATGAATTGTATATATGTAGCCAGTGGAGAAAGCATCTGGCGCAGAAAAATCAGCGAATAAAGAAGTAAAAAAAGCAGTTGCAAATTTACCAACAGCTCCACCAGGTGCTCCACCAGAAACTTCACCAATACCTCCTCCACTACCACCATCACAACTGGAACCCTTTGTCGTTGTTACTAAACCACCACTTCCAATGCCACTGATGCCAACTAAACCTACAGTAATGGATGGTGTACCAAAAGTCATAAAACAACAACAACAACAACAACAACAACAACAATCAACATCGAATAATACAACTCTACCTTCTTTACTCAATACAATAGTTTCAGCACCATCACCATCACCATCATCATCTGTTTCTGAAGCTGTTATCGCTCGATGTCATAGTTGTGGTAATAAATGTCAAGTAATTGTAAGTTAATAAAATTTAAATTATTTAATTTATCTGCTTAATAATACATATTATTAGGTTTGTGAACATTGTGATCATTTTGTATGTCTTAAATGTGCTGAAGAACATCGAACAACCACTAAAGTTGATGCTCAAGAATTAATAAATAAATGGCATGAATGTAAAAATAAATATAATATGTTACTTCAAAAATTAAGTAAATAATATTACATTTTTTAATAATATTTAAGAATGCCTAAATTCCTGGAACGTAATTTCATAGATGAGCCTTTTTTAGTATTCAGAATTCATAATCTTGTCAATTTTTTATCATAGTTGCGCTCAGTTTTATGTTTTTCCATCTGACACTATCATTAGATTTCATCACATCTGAAACAACGAGCTTTAGAACTGGTCGAAAGAACTTGATCAAAAATTACTAACTTTTTCACACTCAGAAAATGTTGTAAAATGATAGTAGTTCAACAATATACAACTACATTGATGCCGACTTATCAAGATCTCGTTCTTTTTCTAGACAAAAATTTTTCGACATATTTGAACTCATGGTAGTCTACTCCAAAAAATGTATAATACTTGAAGAATATTTTTCAATAAAAGTCAATGACATTCAGGATACATTTATTATCTCGTAGTCTTCTCTTTGTTCGAACAAATATAGATATTGCTATCTTACTAATAAAAAAATGTAGGATATTTTTAACAATTCAGATTTGTTTAATCATTCGGTTGTAATGGTCAAGTTAAAATAATCTAAGACTTCATAGAAAAACACAACATAATAAAAAAATCAATCATTCATAGTTAATGTGATTCACTCCTTTTTCTATTGACTGGACGCACATGAAGAAGTCTCATAAAGTAAATCAAGGAAACGTGAATTAAATTCTACCATTTTTCACACGAACTTTAACGGATTACATCGACAATGGCTGCCTTTGGTTCATTCCGCGTATTTATATGAATAGTAAAATACAATACTGAATCATATCAATTATGTATGATTGATTTTAAACTATCTCTGGTTTCCATATGAGGTCTTCTATTATTTTAACTTGACCGTTACAAAAGAGCAGTAAAGAAAATATAAATTTTTAAAGAATATCATACATGTTTCGATTAGTAAGACATAAGCAGTATATCTATTTGTTTGAATTAAGATAACACTACAAAAATAATAAATCTATTCTGGATACGATTGAATTTTATTGAAAAATATTCTTGAAACATTATACATTTATCTAAACTACATTGTGTTCTTTTGAAGGAGATCACAGCGAATTCTGATATTTCGAAATATTTTTGTCTACAAAAAAGGACGAGATCCTAATGAGCTGACGTCAAGGTAAATTAGTTATGTATTGCTGGACTATTTTCATTTTACAATGTCTTTACAGTGCGGGAAAATTAACGATTTTTGATAAGATCCTTTCGGTCAATTCTGAAACTTTTTTTTCTCCATGTGATAAAATATAATGATAATGTCAGATAGAATAATCAAAACTGAGCGGTATGGTTATAAAAAAATTAATAGGAAAATGAATTCTAAACACTAAAATATCTCATTTTTGAAAGTAGGGTTCAAGAATGGATGTATCCCTGATATAATTGATTATTTAATAGTTGTTGCTTTTTTTTTGTCTTGAATATCAATAGACCAATATAATCATGATAGAATTCAAATTGAAAGTGATCTTGCTGCTATAAGAGTTGCTGTTGAACAACGTTCACGAGATGCTATTCAATATGTTGTTGATCAACGTGATTCTTTAATTAGTCGTATTAATGAACATATGGAAAAAGAACAAACAATTAATAAGTATTAATACGACTAATATGTTTTTTCTTAAAATAATTCTTCCATTTATTAAGTATAAAGCATAATGATCTTGTTAATGAATTTCGTCAAATACAAAATCGATTTGAAAGTGCTCTTAAGTATGATGTTGATTGCCTTTTATTTAATTTTTTTTGTCTTATTATACAGTGGAGAAGATATTGGTTCATATACTCAAGGTGATTTTTTACGGGATATTCATGAACTTCAAAATCGAATGAATAAACGTAATAATTTAATGGAAAAACATATTTTTCAAGTAAATAAACATTAAAAAAATTTCCTCAAAATCTTGACTTCTCTTATTTCTATATTTTAGATTCCAACAATTAGTCGATATGAACGAATATCAATTGAAAAATTACTTGGTGAACTTCATTTTAATTCTCATATGATGACTGGCATTCCTAATCAAAATATATCATCATTGTTAAACAATCAACCTTGGTCAAAACAAAATGGTTTATTAGATTATCCTGCAAAACCTTCAACAACAATCATGCCTAATACATTAACAAGAATCTCTTCGCCAACAACAACAACAACCTCTAGTATATCACCAAATAATCATGCTACAACAACAACAACAACAACCACAACAAATGACATAACTAATATTAAACCATTAATGGCAGGTACATATCAAAATGGTACAATCGATGTGTTTGATGAATTTCGTCGTATGGCAGCTCAAATTCATCAACAATTTAATGCACCTTATAGTAAAGTAATTAATGCTGCATCATCGATTCCATTTCCAATATCGGATGGAATTCAAAATATTGATGGAACTGATAAAAATTCTAAAAGATTTTTAACAAAAACAAAAAATCAAAATCCTTCAACAGGTACATTTAGTATGCAATGGAAAACCGAACATACAGCAGGTACATAAATGATATATTATTATATAAGATAGTCGATAAATAACTAGACGATAAATTGATTAAATATCTTCAGTTTATTTTAATTAATCGGATTGATTTTTTTTCTCAGTGATAGAGAACTCGTCAAAGCTTTTGGTTCAAAACGAATATGCCAAATCAATATTATGTAGAACAAACACTATTGACCTTAATCAAGAAATATTCTATTCATCAAAAGTATTTCACTCTGCTACATCAGTGATTCTTAGGTGTAGATATATGAAATTTTTCGTGTATATACTTCCATTGAAATATAGATCAGTGAAATCAACCTGATCTTGTTTGATTGAGTAGAAGAGCAGCTCTGATCTATGGCAAACGTTTTCCTATTTATACTACAAATTTCATCGAGTTTTATTTAAGTATTCAAATACTGTGGATACTCTATGTAAATAATAGCTTGAGTAGATCGAAAGTTCTATTTCATTTACAGTTATAGAATTCATAGTGAGAAGAACTATCACACATCAGCATAAGATCCCGTCATGACCAAACAAAAAAAAAATGATTTTTTGATAATAATTTTCATAATATGTGCGAAAGAATAATCGTATTTAACCTTTTATGTTCAGAACTTTGTCCTTTTCAAAATGATGTATTGTACTTAAAGATATACGACATAGAAAACTACAACACATTCCTCGTGATCAAAAAGTTTCGTGACTGACTGTGGCTAGAACTGGTTTCGAAGAATATGCAGCATTTTTCTTTGACATAGATCATTATATTCTCGACTTTTAGAAATCATTTTGAAGAGGAAAAAATTCTGAACACAAAGGCTTAAATTAGATTTATTTGCTCACACCATTATGAAACCTATAATTAATTCTTTCTTTAGACACGCCGAGTTCTAGCCATAACTTCTTCTCAACTTAAGCATAGAAGATCAGGGCTCTTCTCATGGGCCTACATTTCTTAAGTAATACATACCCTTAAAATTTCTCAGGTCTAATTCTACGAATGGGTAAAATACATTAGATGAATAGTGTATTTCTTTATTGAGGTCAATAGAATTAATTCAAAACAATATCAATTGACATTTTTTTGTAAATAAAAAACTTGAACAGTTCTTTATGACCGAGCAAAAATACCCAGCCTGATTGATTAAAATCACGCTAAAGATATTGAGTATTTTTATCATCTAGTTATTTATGGACTATCTTGTATATATCTAATAGTCTATTTGTATATATGTATTTGTTTTTTTTAAGTACCTAATTTTTTATGTATGACACCATATCCAACACCAAAAATTTTCATTCTTGATAAATATGGTAAAGTATCTGTATGTAGTATTCCACCAAAACCACCAAAACCATTTGAATCATATTCATTATTTCCAAATGGTACTGACGAATTGATTGAATCTGCTGTTGTTTCATCACGTTTTCTTATTGTTTATTCTCGAAAAAAACAAGATACCATGACTGGTACAATGTATTTTTTTAATCATGAATGTAAATCCGTTTTACAAAGTGGTATTCATCAAAGCATTCCAGTACATCATATATTATGTGATCAAAATGCAAATCGTCTTTATTGTCTTGATCGTATGCGTTGTACAATCTACTATCATACATTACCAAATAATTCGAATGAAATTGAAACATGTATGAAAACGCGTCGTGATTTTATACAATTTAATTCGAATTATGCAGCTTTTAAAATGTTACAAAATGATGATATTTTAGGATTTTATGAACGAAATGAATGTACTGTTCATTTATATGACAAAAAGAAAACAGAAAAAATTGATGAATTTAAATGTGAACACTTCACAGATAAATTTGAAAGTTGGGGAATTATTGGTATGTTGAAGTTTGAATTAAAAAGAATTTAATGAAAGAAAAAAAAAGAACATAGATATGAAAGTGTAATTTTGAGGAGTTTCTTTTTAAACTTAATACACTTATCAAACGGCTAATATCATTCTGATTTTTGAATTAAATAGAACACTGCTGAAAACGATTGATATTTGGCAAGAAAATGTTACTGAACTCTATATTAGTAATGCAATCTGATGAACTTGAAAATCCGTAGCAAAAGAGTAGCAAAACAACATTTCGTCGTTTATTTTGCACGATCTTAATTGATTGACTACGGATTAATCTTATATCAAAATTGATTGATACTTATAAAAAATGAGTTTGATCTTAGAAACCAATCTGTTTCTTCCAGTTACAGATCATTTTTAGCAATCGGAGGATCAAAATAGAGAGAAAAACATTCTATATAGAGATATGCCGGATGATTACTCCATACTTCAAGATAAGGATAAAAGTTATCCAGGATAGGGTAAGAGTAGAGATTTTTTCAGGATAGGATTAGGTAAGGGTAAGCATAGTACAGGGTAGAGTAAGAGCTAAAAAATTTTCTCAGCCAGAGTGCCAGGTATGAAAAAAGCTTATACTACACATCTCTATTCCAAAATGTGTTAATAACTTCATAAGTTCACTCTTTTATTAAACATATAACAAAATACAATTGATACAATAATATGTTTATTTTCTTTGTAGCTATTCGAAAAGATAATAATAGTCTTATATTCAAAGTCGATGAACGTGATGATCATGATGCGGCAAACCGGCAACATATTGTTTATGAAGTTAATCGTTCAACAAAACAAATCATAAGCCATATTCAACTTAATTCAGTATTTGGTATGATAATTGGACCAAATAATGAAGTTATATTAGGTATTCGTCAAACAAAAGACAGTGGTGTTATTCAATGTTATATTAGAAAGTAATAAATAATTGTATTAAAAAGCCGGTGCAGATGATCGAGAACAAACAAACAAAAAAAAAACAGGAATAATGTGATTTTGTTCTGTCTGTGTTAAACAAAAAAAACAAAATATCATCTTTTGTTGTATATTTTTTTGCTACCAAAAACAAGATGATAAATCACTGTGATTGTTAGTGAGAATGCAAGTTTGTTTTGTTTATGCTGATGATATACTTTATAGTTTTCTCTTTTTGTTTGTTCATGATTATATTTGTCTCTAGTCAAGACAAAACATGACTTTTCGTTTTTTCACTCGCGTTCAAAAAGATATCTTGTACATATCCTTTATTTGTTCTTTCTTTTTTTTTTGGTTAATTTCGCCACTTTATTTGGTTCTTTGTTGTGATATGAGTGAAAGATGAAAGAAGATTAAAAACAAAAGTTTACATTTTATAAAAACGAACTATTAGCTTAATTTTCGTTTATGCTTTTTTTTTTCATTTTATGTTCATTTTCGTTTTTTTTTCTACTGGTTATTAATAAACATGATGATTATATATCTAGGATGTATTTTATGTTGACTTTTTCAACATTGATATAAAGTCTTTCTTGTAGAATTCAATGAAATATGTCCATATCACGAAATATTCTTTCATGTACAGTTTGTCAATCATTGTTTGATGTAAGAACAATTTTATTTTCATTAATAATATTTGTATATTTATTTTTTGATAAAAGGATGCAAGACAATTACGATGTGGTCATTCATTTTGTTATAAATGTATTATATCTCAATTTGATAAAACATCGAATAGAATCGTTTGCTCGAGATGCAGGTTAGTCTAGTGGATATTCAATTAGCTCGAAGTACAAGTATTAAAAGAGAACAACAGAAATAGGACATTTTCCATTTGAGAATTTTCCTTCAAATACCTTCTACTAACATTTGTTCTATGCAAATTATATAAACGTAAAAATGATCTATATTTCTTTTTTAAAATAAAATCTTTTAATTAAGCGAAAAAATCTCGATATCATAATACTAATTCAGTCTTTTTTAATGACAATCATTTGAAGTAAAAACAAAAGAGACTTGCTCGAAAATACGTTTTAACAATGTACTTAAAGTCTACTTAGCAAAAATAAAACCTGACGGCTAAAGATCTGATATAAATGTATTCCTTTCAATCGCTCGATATTTCATCGTTAGTGTAGTTGTCGTTTGACAAAATACTACCTCAAATTCAGAAATATTTCACTGTAATCTAATTCTCACAAAATATTTATGATTAAAGTATTCATACTAATTTTGTACTAACAAAATTGTTCCGTATAAATATCAACAACGTCATGAGCTAATTACTTTTTTATCTCTCTTCAGACGTATTCATCAGTTTGAATCATTTTCACATTTTGAAATGAGTTTAATTGTTGATGCATTTGTTATGTCATTGGTTATGGAACATCGACGTAAAACTACTATTCAATCAACACCATTATTAGCATTTACACTTGAAGAAATTCTTGAACGAAGTCCTGCACCATTTCTTATTGCAAAATGTGCTGAATGTACACTTCGTAAAGAACTTGGTATTTAGGAAAAACAACTACATCACATACTATTGAAGACAAACAATTCCTATTTCGTTTTTCTTTTAAGTTGTTTGTCCTGAATGTGAACAAGTAATTTGTTTCGAATGTATTTCTCAACATCAACTAGTTGTAAATAATCGTGTTCAACAAAATTGGATGACATGTAAAGATATGTGGAATACGATTTATGAAAAATCGAGTAAAATATTTTTTCTTTTGTTTTCCTGTTTAAAAAATTTTATTTTGTAGTGTTATTTGATGAACAACAATTTAATCTTAAATCTTATACAGATGAATTAAAGTCTCGTATTGAAAAACGTTCAAATTTTCTATTTGAAACGATTGAAAAATGGCGAAATATCTATGATAATAAAATCAATCAATATTCAGAGGTATCTAATATTATTCGTCAAGAAATAACAACACAATATCAATTAATTAATCAACATATTCAAATATTTCTTAAGTTTGTTTGGAAGAAAAAGAAGAAGAAAGTTCTTTTAATTACATTTATGTTTTTTAGTACCAAAGATCCTGATCCAATCAAAGCTGAACATTTTCTTCAAGAAATTAAAGATTTTAAAATAAAATTACGTCGACAAATAAAACAAATTGATGAATATTCACATAAACTTCCAACCTATTCAATATTAAATTTTGATTCATCTATACTTGGTACTCTATCTATGCAAACATCTATGGACAATCTTAAAACTATCGTTGATGACAATAATAATGAATATCATATTGAAATAGAAAACGATATAAATGATAATGAAAGTACTAGTTCAAATGAAAGTCAAGAAACAATCCATGAAAATAGTAATATTCAAGAAGTTCAAGAATCGAATAGTCAATCTCCACTGACCACATTAGAAAATATTCCAAATAAGAAACTTCTTTGGTCTTTACATTTTAAATTCGTACCACAATATATTGCACTTTATCGACAATCGATTTTATTTGCATCAGATCGTTGGGGTTTTGTTAGGTGCGGTAATTTTTTTTAAAGATTTATTAAATCAATATTGTTTTGGTTTTCCAGCACATGGACTTATACAAATGCACGTACAAAGCCTACACCGAAAAAAACGTTTGTTCTTTTTCCACAATTTCGAGTTGGTACATGGTCTCGTGTCTATGTGGAATCGTTTAGTGTTTGTAAGTTTTGCAAAACATCATTTTTTTTCTTTCTTGTTTTAACGGGTAATCAAAAAGTAACTCGACAAAATGGTCTTTCATGGGAGCCTAGAAAAAGACGACTATAATTTTTTCGATGATTTTTTACTAGAAAAAGGCTTGATCTAATAGTGTATGCATTATCAAATGCTACTACGTATCGTTCAAACACTGGTCTTATCTAATACAGTGAGATAAGGGAGTTCAAAATCACTTATTTTCATGTCTAATATATATAATCTTTGAATCTCTAAATCTTCGTGAAAGAAGCTAGAAGCAATGTTAAATATTTTTGTGTATGTGATTATTCATACTCTACCGATCTTTAATATTTACAAAGCACAAAAAAACGGTGGCTAAATGTCAGAGATTCCAAAATTTCCAGTGTTTTCGTTATTTTCGTGCCATATGTGATCTTGGGCTCCCTATCTGGTAATCATCATAGTTATTCTCCCGTGATTCAAAAGCACAGATGATGCGTCTTTGAAAAACTCTGTGTAATTGAATGAAAATTGTTTTATCTTCAATGCATCATAGCATGTCAAGCCTAAATACCAAAAGGTTAATGCCACATGGTTAAGGGTACCAATCGTTCCGTTTTCATAAGCACATTGACATACCATTCTAAAGTAATACGGTAATTATATTGAACAATGGAATTGTATATCTTTCGATTAGTATGGCTATGTTGAATTTTTGTTTTCAATAAGCTATTTCTTTGTACTGAAACCATAATTTTATAAAACTCATCATCGTTTATATGTTCATTAATACATCTTCTAGCTTGTTTTAGTTCATATATACGTAGTATAAATTTTTCTAATTGCGTCTGCGAGATGATACAAAAAAATCAGGTACTGTTTCGACATCCTCTATTCCGTCCCACTCTTTCGTCTATTGAAATTCTTTATCATTGAGCTTTGTTTCAAAAACATTTTTTTAATGTTTTCGTTTGAGCAAACACGACATCATGAGCAGCATCATCATTTAATGGTGAATAAAAAGTATTTGGAATCGCCCAAACAATTCGAAGATGGTTGTGTACATAAGACAAAGATTAGTTCAGTATGAGTTTATTAAAATATTTAAATTTTTTGACTCTTCCGTTTATGCTTTCTGTAATCCAGTGAATCTTCGTCATAAATCTATTATGATTTCCTTCTTGAGAGAAAATATGACATGTATGCATTGAAATCAAGACACCGTATGTAATTGAGAACATCTTGAAAGGCGCGATCTATCACGAAAGTATCTTTCTACTAAAGCCAGTTTCGTATCTCTTCCTAGTGTATACGGTAAATATCATTCGTAATATTTCCGTCATTATTCTGCTAATCTGCAACATATGGACCATTGTCGAACATATATAGCAATCTGTAGCAGCACACATCATAGGTTTTATGAGTGGACTTGAGGAACCATCTATGTGGTAGAAAACTACCTGCATTCTTTTGGCTATGGACAAAGATTCCATCTAAAATCAGAACGGGTGAAGCTTTATTACCAATGTAAAGATATCTCGGCAACGGTCTCGTATAATCTTGAATAATTTTCTCTCGACTGGTATGCTCAAATTCCAAATATTGAGGCACGAAATGTTTCCCTGATGATTGCCGGGTATTTTTAAGAGCCCGTTCAACAGTACTCGTGTCATGAAGCGAGAAAAGAATTATTAAAATGCTATTACTTAATCCTAATCTAACTTTCGTGAAAAGACAGTTGACTGTCATCTGTATAGATTAATTGATCATATTTAGCATACCAATGCAACTACAAACGCCATCAAAATCTTGTTTGTTAGCGCCTATCAAAGTTCAATAATCTTGATCTGTATATAGTAGAGATTGATTGTGGTCCATGGATATAGGTTTCGTTTTTTCAGGCAATACTATAATGTCTTCAATCTGACCAAATATTGTCCAGCATTGATATTAAAATATTTATAGAGACTCTACCAATTAGTTTATAGTTTATCTTGACTAATTGAATGGCATTCGGTGATAGTTGCTGTTCTCTGACATGACTCATACAACAACGTTTTCCCAATTTAAAACAAATTATACCGTTCAATAATGTGTGCAAACAAATATTTTCAATAATTTTTATTAATGGAATTCGACGAAATATTTCTGGACAGATTCAACAATATTTGTCGTAAACTGATAGAACACATACAGGTGATCGAACAGTATGAGAAATCAAGAAAGAAGAAGTAACCTATCTGTTGTATAAAAGTTTTTCATCAGTTTCAGCTGTGTTATTGACTCAATGCTTGAAGAACATTCAGATGATCATAATGGTTCATCAGATAATTTTAATTGCTTAGAATGCTTTTGATAACATTCATTGCATGTTTAACAGCCGTTTTTAAATGCTGGTAGATGAAGTAATCCATCAAATGGACTGATACTATCAAAAATGATTGTGATTCCATTAAATTGTAGCTACGTTTATTATTGACAAGAACTTCACAGAAACAGCAGCGTTCGTGGAATGACATAGCGTAAACCCTTTAGTTCCAAGATATTCTAAAAACAATAATGTATTGCAGAAGAAAAATACACCGCAATGGTTCTAAGAAAAACAACACAACAATGAGTAAACAGAAAAAAATGTGCAATAATTGTTCAAAGAGTAAGAATCAACAATAATTAACAGAGACAAGACAGTAACAACAAGTTGATTATTTTCTTAGCGTCTACGATTAATATATATGACCGTTCTCGACAGCACGTACGTCTATATGGTATGTACACACATATACTTAGTAATGGACCGCTCCGTCCGGTTGTATTAGTCTACTCATTATAGAACATGCATAGAAAAAAATCATTTTCACTCACATGGTATAGACTGTTACGCTTTTTCTATAATACTCTGCTGAAAGGAATAATCTTATGTTGAACACAAAATAATTTCATTGTTTACCAATCAATCATATAGTCTCAGTAAGAGTTTCAAAAAAAATTGAACGACTACAGCTTATTCTTGTATACTACTTTGAAACATTTCCGATCGATAAGATTACATATGACATGAAAATAAGTGAAGTGAGACTCGCTTGTCTCAATGCTATAGACAAAATCAGTGTAGGCAAGTAATCTTCTATTCATTTTTAGACAGAATGTATAGTTTTACATATATATATGTATAATATAAACTTGTCATAAATCCTAATGATCTAATGGTCGATTGCAAGGATAAAAAGCCAGATTTTTAGCTATGAGAGCCATGTCGAAATGTTAAAATTTTTCAACTAAATAACAAAACATGTATGAACTTTCAAATATTGATACTCGTAATCATCACACTTAACTCTGTAGATAAGTATAGAATTTATTTGAATCAGAAAAAATATTTTTCGACATCCCCGTGAAAGACCACAGGTTCCAAGATTTTTTTGAGTTGCTTCTAAACTGACCTATGAAATATGATTAAGATCCATATCCAACTTTGTTCAAATGAAAAAAACTCTATTTGATTGAGGTTGAAAAAAATCAATGTACTTCTCGTCAAATTACTTCTCATAATCGGTTATTCAAATTTTTAATTTTTCTTCTTTTTTATATTTGATTTAGATAAACCATATATATGTGTTTTTGTTAAAGGATCTGATGAGTCACTTGCAAATTTCATTGCGTTTTTTACTCATAGTGGACAATTACAGATGAAAGTTGAATATGATCATCGATATACACTTCGTCAATTAATATGCGATGAAAGTTCAAAAGGAAATTGTATATGTATGTATTTAAAATAAATATTTCTTTGACTTATATCTGTGTTTGGTGTTTTTTTTTTAATTTTAAGGGGCTGTCGATCGAGGCATGCATTGCATTTATAAACATGATTTACCACGAGTTAATAAAGAAATTAAACCATTTTTATCAACACATAAGATAGCAACACATTTAAATGATCGAAGTTGTGATGTTATTCGTATGGCTATTAATCAAAATATTCTCGCTTTACTTGGTATGTTTCGTAAATAGTTTTCATACAATTATTTACAAGATAACGGAACATAAATAATTATAATGGTTGTTTTTGTTTTTCATCTCTAGATTCACGAACACAAATAGTAACATTTTATGATAAAAGTACTCAAAAAGAAATTGGTATTTATTCAGCTGAATGTTTACCTACCGGTGAAAATAAATTATGGCGTGTAGAAATATTTCCTGATAACAGTCTTCTTCTACGTTTTGATGATGATGAACGTACCGGTGATCGTTCACAAGTTATTCATCATATTGTTGTACATGTTAAAAAGAATGAAGCAAATAAAAAATATGAAGCTATATCGCAAATTCAAGCAACTAATGTTTATGGTTTTGCAATTGGTTCTGATTCAGAAGTTATTGTTGGTTTAAGAAAATCAAATTGTTTCGAAGGTCTCATTAATTGCTATGTTTGATAAAAAAAATTCGAAGTAATTTTATGTCTGATATTTACAAATACATATATTTTTTTGTTTTCTCATTATCATTTTATTAGTTGTTTATATTTCATATCAATCAGATATTTAATTAAAAATAGTCACGTTCTTGTTATAGTTAACTTTTGTCAGATTAAACTTCGAACATATTGTAAATAAAAACTTTATTGAACTTTGTTTTCTTTTCAGATTCCGTTTAAATTAATGCCACCATAAGATTTCTAAAGAAAGATTTATTGAAATATGATTAGTGCTAAACTTGTTACATGTGGATTGTGTCAGAGTTACTATGCTGATCCTCGACAGGTAAATATCCTTGTTTTTGTGTGGAATTGACATTATGTTTATCGAAGAAAAACTTAGTGAGTGTAAGTTTTAAATCGAAACTCTGCATGCTCTCCCTTAGAGCAACACAGAACAAGCGAAAGTTCAACTATTAATGCATACGTTTTCGTAGCTACCGAAGACAACACACATAAGGCTCTTTTTCCAAAGTTTTTTTAGCAACGGAAGAAGGCTCTCAACGGCAATAACAATAAGACTTAGGTTCCTAGAAGTTTGAGTGTCTGGAATATTTTTTGAACAAATAAAAATTTTTGTTTAAGATGTCAAGGATGATGAGTAGTGACACATTACTTTGGCACATTCGTCATATGATCAACATAAAAAATGTAAACTGATTAAGTTATAGTTTTGGATAATAGTCAATATCAATGTTTCTGAAGCTTATCGATCTATAAAATAGTGTATTGAAGCCAATGCTAGATGTAATGAATACGCATAACAAGCTTATTTGCTGTCTAAATCAATGATTAGAATAAGAATACGAGCTAATAGATATTAGACAAGAAAAAAAAAGAAAGTGTCAATGAAGAAAGAAAAAAATTGTGTTCAAAATCTAGCAGTGAATAAGACAGATCGCTCATTTAGTGATCAACAATAACTCTTGGATAACAAGTATCGTCTGCGACAGGTTTTTGTGAAACACGATCTAAAAGAAGTTTTGAAGAATACAAGGTAGAATCAAAGATTGTATATTAATAAGATCTCATTATAATATATGAACTCATTCTTTATTGCATTCCTAAAAGATCAAGTGAAAAGATGCTGAAGAAATATATCCCAAAATTGATAGAATAAAATCCTCTTCCTGTGATTGGCAAGGGCGCTTACATCTCATGTCATATTTTAAGCTTACAAGGATTGTGCTAACAGAAGATGTGTTATATTAGTATAACGAAATAAAATAACATACGTGAGTTTCATATTATAGTTTCAAAGGGATTCGACTAATAGGTTTTTTAAATATCTTTTAAAATTAAGTCATTTCCATTAAATGTTCATTTAGATTCCCTGTTCACATTCATTTTGTTTTGATTGTATATCAGGGCGTTTCAATGAGGAAACATTAACATTAATATGTCCAAAATGTGAAAAGCTTCATCAATATAAATCAGTAGAGGAATTTCATAATCGATGTATGCGTGATGGATTTCTGGCATCAATGGTAACTCAATTTAAACGAAGTCAAAGTCGTTCATCAGCAACACCATCAGCTTTATCATCACGTCCACCATCTTCATTTTCACATACATCAACAATTCTTTCATCAACACCAATACCTCGTATACGAGCACAAGAAATAGATATAAATAATCATGATCAATCAGGTTCTGAACGTTCAACACCATCAGTTTTTAATCAACAAAGACCATCATCTGTTGCACAACAAACAACAACACGTGCACTTATTGCTAAATGTCAATCATGCAATATACGAGGAGAATTAATTGTATGTAGTCATTGTGATAATGCTATTTGTACTAAATGTGCTGATGAACATCAGAGTGTTATTAATAGTGATGTTAAACGAGAATGGGATTTATGTAAAACACAATTTGAAACAATTAATGAGAAATCAAGTATTGAGTTTCTTTTTTGTCAAAGAAATCATTTTCAATATTTTTTTTTATTCCTTATTTTGTTTTAGCACGGTTTGATCAAAATGAAGAGGAAGTTAATAATAAAGCACGTAGTCTACAGACATTTATTAGTAAACAAAGTGGTAAATTAATACAAACAGTGGAACATCATAAAAATACGTATATTGATATTATTGAAAAACATCTTCGAACTTATAAACAATCGTAAGTTATTTTATTAACAAAAAAATAATTCATTTCTGTATTCTCAAGTGCTAACTATCGAAAATATGAAAAGATCATCTATAGAATTTAATACAGGCAAGAGAATAAACTACAAAAAATACATCAAAAAAGATGAATGTCTAAATGATCAAGAACTAAGGAATCTAGCATTTTTTTCTATTGTGTCTATCTTAGAAAGCTAACCTGTTCATAGATAACGCACTCACCCATTTTTGACTTTCAAACTGTCATAACTAACGCCTTTACAAAAATAGAAAGTCTTACTAATGCATTTATCGAAAAAGGACTTCTTTCAGTAGAGCTATTCAAAAGCACTCACATTCGTGCCCAAATAAATGTACTGAGTTCAAGGTACTCGCCTATAGAGTTAGTGGTCAACAGAGCAGCGAATTGGTACTTATAAGGTACTCGTCTAGTTTCTATAGAATTTGTTTGAACAATTTTTCAACAAGTTAGTAGATTGAATATTTAGAAGTGTGTTCTAGTCAAGTGTTAGGTACTCATATAGTATTTCAAGGTTCCTGTAACTTATTGGGAGCAGGGTTCTCTGAATTTAGTATATTCATTATGGTAGAAACTTTTCTTGGTTTGAACAATATATTTTCATTTATGTCTACATCTAAGCCAACAGACCTAATAATAGTCATACATGAATTTTGAAACTTTGTTCCTGAAAAACAGTATCACTAAAACATTACGATATCTTACTCAGTGAGTTTTGTTAAATCCACTAAAAAAAGCATATTTTTTACAGTTTTGATTATTAAAGAAAGTGACTCACTAATGTCAAACTGTAGCTCAATCTTCGATGATACTATAATTATTTCCATCATGTAAAATGATCTAGTCAGGTTCGAAATGTAATAAAAGACAATTAGACCCTTTTTTTGCACAAAAAAATGCTTAATTTTAGCTGACTAGAGGCAGTCAGGTTGTTTTCAAATTCGAACAGGCTCGAAGCTGAAAGTTTTTTCGTTAATTGGCTCCGAAGATTTTGGACTCAACGGGTTCTAATGAAGACTACTACTTATTTTTCATCATTCTTCAAAACAAAATGCCATCTATTGATGTAGAGTATATGAAGCCTAAAAGAAAATTCCGAATGGATAAATTCGATCGTTTTGTGTTCATGAAGTCTTTTGTTCAACTATGAATAAGCGTGATTGTTTTTTTTACCTGGATAAACAGTAAAACATTTTCTTTCTATTTAGTTCTGCTCATGAGCAAGTTGTTGATGAATATGAATCGATTGATAAACGTGTTGGAGAGTTATTCAAGTATATTATTAATATAAATACTTTTCTTCAAAAAGAAAGAATTCTTTTCTCTTATATATTTTTATTAGGTCTGCTGATATCACTACTGATAAAATTAGTGATTTTTTATTTGAAATTGAACATCTTGAAGGTCGATTAGATAGTTTAAATAAAATTCTCGATTCAAGTCAATTAAAAGTATTTCGATTATTATTTTTTCATTGATAAAAGCAATCATATTTATTTAGTTTCCTTTACTCACATTACCTGAACAAGTCAATATATCATCACTTTTTGGTACTCTTCAATTTGCTCAATTAAATACTGAATCACCTACATGTGATCAATATTCCTTACCAATTACAAATGGTTATTATGATTCACAAATAAAATCTGAAGATGAAGATTATGTTGTTATTGGTTCATCAAATCATAATCATTTCAAAAATATTTTATCAAATCCAATCGAACAAATTTCATCATTATCATCTATTTCAAATATACCAAAAAAAAAACTTTTATGGCAAATTGATTATTTTTCTGTTCCATATTATGTTCGGACATATGGAAACCAATTATTTATTTGTGATAAATATGGTTTGTTAAATTGACAGCACTAGACAAAAGTTTTCGTACGGTTTTATTTTAAGTGTAACTACATTAAAAAAAAAACAACTGTATTTTGACATATGGCTTTTGCTAATATTACAGTCATTGTCTATCATATATCCACACAAAAATTTAACTCAAAAAGTTGAGTCATTCTGGCATTGAACTTATTTACAGTCCGAAATAATGATTGTTTCGTATGACTTTCAAATTAAATTATTTTTCTCTGCAAATGTTTCGAGAAAAAAAAACCATTATTCATATGAACGAATTGAAGAAAACAGTGGGACCATCGAAGTTTATTGGTTTTAATTAAATGATCGGACTTATCTATTGATAGGCTATAATATATTTTAACTATATCAGAAGAGAACAATCATTTTTGAGAGTCAGCCTTCTTCTTCAGCTTATTGTCGGCTATAAGTACAATATTCACCATCGAGTTCAGCTAGAAATCTATCTTCAGCCTAGTTTCTTCTGTTTGATTATAACATATATAATGAGACTTGTATAAAAATCGCAATAATGTTCGAAAAAATAAATTTTGAAAGCTGCTGCGATAATCTTCAGAAACGATGTTTTATCCAGTGTGGGAGCTGAGAGGACGGCACTTCTGCAAAGATTAGACTGTTTCTACTCGATTAGATGATTCTTCTCGGTACATACTCTCAGAAAAACATGTCTGCCCTTACAGAGTTTTCAATTGTTCCACCGAAAGAGAAAATCCGAATAAAATACTGTTCGAAACAGAGACCGAATCGAACTGAGTTGTACTCGTTCGAGTTCGGTTCATAATCGGTCTCCGATATTAAATAATCGATCAAAGGTCGTTTGATCATGGCCCACAGCATCAGAATTTTATAAAATAGATGCTAGTTCAATCAATCATTTTTCCTATATGTTTATATATATTAGTAGCGGTGCCAGGAGTTTTGGCTATGGGAGCTGAGCCCTCTTAATTCTCCTTTGGCACCACTTTTAGTAGTAATTCTAAACTTTTCCAGAAGTAGACTTGCTTCCCTTTTGACCCGTCTCTAGCCTATATTTACTTACTTTTCGAAAATTAATTTGAGCTTGGTTCATCTTCAATCTCTGCTTTGAAAATCATCTTCAAGAACGTTGTCTCAATCATCTAATGTCGTAGTTCAAAGAAAAGTTTCTTCACATGAATACGAAGATAGGGAGTTGATATGTATATCGTGTCATATCAATCATAAAATAAGTAAGTTGTTTCATAGAAACTTTTCCGAGGAAAAGTTTCAATTGTCAAAATGTAGCCCTTGTTATCTTCTATTCATCCATTTGAATTCCTTTTTTTTCTCGAAACATTTCTAGAGAAAGATAATTTGATTTGAAAATCATACGAAAAAGTCATTACCTCGGACTGTTAAAACGCCGATTCAAGTACAAATCTATTTTTCAAGTTAAGTTTTCAAGTGGATATATTACAGAAAATAACTGTAATATTGGCAAAACTTGCATGTCGAAAGACAACTATTTTAATGGAGTTATATTTAAAGCAAAAGCATACAGAGAATATAGTCTACCACTTGAATTGTAATATTTCGAAAAAAAAAAACTTTTTTTTTTCTTTTTAGGTTCATTAGCAATATACAAATTAAGTAAAGCTAATGATATTCGACAAAAACCAAGTTTAGTTCGTGAAATAAAATTATTTAAAGATTTCTCAACATTAACGGCAACTGATGATGATCAAACAATAATTGATTCATTTGTTGTTTATAAATTATGGATCATTGTATTTAAACGTAAAAAAAATGAATTACATGGTACTATTTATTTATTTACACATGATGGTAAACCGATACACAAAGGTAAATGTATACATAATTACCCATCACGTGAATTAACAATGGATACAGAAAAAAATATACTATGGTCATTAGATCAAAAACAACTTTGCCTTTTTTATTATGTTTTACCGGATACAGAACCAACTAATCATGAAGAATATTTTCAGAATCGTCATTCACATGTACAATTTTCTAAACCATTCGCACCAATACATATATCTGTTAATAAAAATGTTTTAGCTGTCTTAGATAAAAATCGACAAGCTGTACATGTTTATGATAAAAAAACTAAACAAGAATTATATGAACATGTTAATATATATGGTAATTCAACACATTTTTGTTGGGATATGGCATTATTTTCTGATAATAGTTTACTTATAAAACTTGATGAAATGAGTACATTAAAATCTGGACCATCAAAACATATCTATTTACAACTTGATACAACAAAAAAACATAATATTATTGGAACAATTGAAGAAACCGATGCATATGGAATGATGATCACGACAACAGATGAAATTCTTATTGGTGTTAGAATAAATACAAAAGGCATTGTCAAATGTTATATTTAAAATAACTAGGATTTTATTGGCATGTTTTTGTTTGTTTGTTTGTTTTGTCTGTTGAGTTGACTTTTTATTTTATATTAAAAATGATATATAGGTGTATTCAACAAAAAAAAAGAAGACTAATATAAGAAAAATTTGTCTATGAGTTATGATATCTATATGTACTTTGATTTATTCTAGAATATAAATGGCTTGTTATCTTCCTGATCATCTTGTTCGATGTTTAATATGTAAAAATTTGTTTTCTGATGCACGTCGTCTTCGTTGTGGTTGTGTTTATTGTTATTTATGTTGTTTACAGCTTATTAAAAATAATACATTATATTGTTATTGTTCATATACACATCGATTTAATTCACAAGATGAAATTGAAAAGGTGAATTTTCCGATTATTTCTCTATGAGAATGAAGTTTCTTCAGTTGTGCAACAGTTTTCAAAAAAAAAAAGAAGACATGTTTAAAAAAGATGTCAACTAAGCAGTTGGCTAAAAGTTTCGAGAGAGAAGCTTTTACTCGTTTTCGCGTATTTAGATGTATGCGTAGTGTATGAAAAGGAGAATTTTGTGCTCTTTCAGAAAATATGTTTGGAATTTTGATGTAACTTTTCACTATTCAGCTATTAGTGAATCTTGAAAACACTCAATAAGTTTTTTATCAAGGAAAAAACTGCGAATAGAAACTTGTTTGAAACACGCTACCACATGTTATCGAATTCATTGGAAGATCCAGAAAATAAATCTCTACAAAACGGTAGTTATTTTTGCAAATTTTTGAGACACAGTGAAGGGTTTTATTAAGTCTATCGCCAGAAAAATGACTATTTCCGCCTTTTTCAGCGCAAGATGACTTTTCATCATAACTCTCCCATGTTTTAGCAAATTAAACAAAACTCTCTATTCTTCTATCATTTTGTCGAGTAGAGATTATATTTCAAATATTATACATTTACGGAACTTATTTGATGTAGACTTTTCTTTCCTGTCAAGATTTACTCACAGCTCAATTGTAAAAAGTGACAGAAAACTTCTAAACACATATTCTGAAAGAGCACAAAATTCTGATTCTCATAAACTACTGCTCACTCTTCTTCAATATATTTAATATGCAAACAGTCAAATATTTTGTCTAGAAACTTTAAGTCTATTCCTTACTTTGTGTGGAACTCACATTATGTTTTTCGAAGAAAATTTTAGTCAGTGTAAAATAAAAACGGAGGGGGGGAGTAGCAGTCATTGAGCACTTTATAACAAACGAGGATAATACGCGTCAGACTCATTTCCCGGAGTTTCTTAGTAATGAAAAAAGACGTTGAATAGTAGTGACAACAACACTTAGATTGCTTGACATCTGAGTGCCTGAATATGTTCTGAGTAGTGCAGTATTTGATTTTTGATCAAAAAAAGTATATATTCAAAATGTCAAGAATGATGAGTAGTCATAAACTGCTTTGCCACAACTGTGCTATGATCAACATGAAAGTTGAAACGTATTGTAGGTATAATGGATAAATAAAACAGACTTATTTGTTAGCTAAGCAAATGTTCACCACAGTATAGCTCGTCTTCCTGGCGACTGATTATCCTTCGGAAACAACTATATTCTGTTAGAGATATTTCATTTAACCTATTTGGTATGAGTATAACGAAGTTAAAGAACAAATGTGAGCTTCACATTTTAGCGGTTCACTGGAAAGTCGACAATCAGAATTTCGAAATCTGAATTCGGTCAGTATTGACGAATTTCCAGTGCTGCCTAAATACTTTCGGGATTTCGACAATAATAAACTTGGTTTAACATTTCATTCTCTGACATTCGTACTATGAAATAACACATGAAGTTTGTTATTGTTGAAATCCTGAAAGAATTTAGGCAGCACTGGAAAATCGTCAATACTGTCCGAATTTCGATTTCGAAATTCTGATTGTCGAAATTCCGTCTTACCATTTTAGCTGCAAAGAGACTGTGTTAACAAGCTTTTTATTTCAAAAAAAGTATTTGTACATATACAGAATAACGAGTTTTATATCACTGAGAAATCAAGCATGTAACATAGTTTCTTCAATAGTTATAAAATCTTTCGAATGTGTACATTTGAAATAAAATCTAAAAGTTCATTAATGATCAAATTTACTCACTTGGTTTTGTTTCGATTGTTTGTTCTACATTTTTCAACGATGACTGATAAATTGTAAGGCCATGACTAATTTCAAGGTCGTCCAATTTGATTCTGTATAACAATGATACAAGATATTTGGAAAATCGGTACGAACCTTTTATGTAAATCTCTTTTATATAATTTAAGCAATAGATTTGTTTGTTGTTATAATATGATCGTATATTCCTTTAAGTTTTATTTGATTTACAAAAATTGTGTACCATAATAACTATGAAATGAAATACATAATTCCAAGCTTGCCGAAATCTTTCAACAAATACAACAGAATGTTTATTTTTGAATCAATTTATTTCTCTTATCAATTCTTATGCATACAGATTTTTACTTTATTTCTTATTGATAAATCATTTAAATTAAAAGATACTTCATCCTGAAAGTAAAAGCGAATTCTCACGATTATTGACTTTTTCTAACATTAGCATCAAAACGATAGTATTTTAGCTAAATCATATAGGAGTTCTTTGTTAAGTTGTCGGACGCATTGTATCTCGTATGGTTTCATTCAAAAATAGTTTATCAAAATTTAGTCTGCTGTGAGTCACGAAATAAGGCAAGCTGTTGCAACAACTCACAATAGTCAATTGGAGCACTTTTCACCAATATCATGAATTTCGTCGATTATCTCTCCTATAGTTTTTCAAGATCTTTCAGATTGTTATTCACTTACTACCATACTGATTTTCGCAAAACCGTTGAAACGCATCTCTTGTACAGTCTATGTCTGATGTTGATTTGCCAAGTTTGACTTGCATGTTTCTTTTTGACAGGAATAGGTGACTGAAATTTGACCATTAACACAAAACAATTTTAATTTTTATCAGCATAGACATCCATGTGAAGATATACGGAACGAAAATTCAAGGAATATATTATCATATCATAAAGAATTAACAATAATCGCTTGAAGTATTTAAGAGTTATTCACGTAAACTTTCGCACAAAGTATTGAAATATTTTGTAGATGACTACTTAAAATAGTCTTTGCTAAGTTGATCATAAATTAATGCCTATAATTTTGTTTTACTTCTTATATACATTCAAAACAAATGACATTCGTTTAAACAGTTAATCTTTCGTTTTTTCTTTAATCTAGTCTTTAGTTATCGATAATGTTGTCAATGATCTAGTTCGTCAACAGATAAAACAAAAACAAGCCTCATCAAAAAAATTAGTTGACTATGATTCAATATCAATATCTTCACCACAAACTGAAGATGATATAAATCCAAATGATCAGCAAACAGCTTTATCAATATCATCATCTAGTCTCCCTTTAACTACACGTAAACAAGTTGCTGTTGCTCAACCACCATGTACCATATGTAAGAGAAAATCTAATATGATTATTCTTTGTGAACACTGTAATTCTGATATATGTGAATTATGTATGGAAAAACATTATCAAATTATAATAGATATACTTCATGATAAATGGATACAATGTAAGAAAAAATTCGATCAAATTAATGAACATGTTTGTAAGTATACATACATAGAGTAGTGGACCAAAATCTCTCCTGTCAATAGGATTTTCCCTGGAACTTATATAAATAAGCACTACTAGTAGGAGTGGCCGAGTACAAAATTTCCGCATCGGACCCGATCGAACCATACTTTGATACTTTCAATAAAAGGTTCTCATCGGAATTCAATATTTTCCCTGAATATGCAAGATACTTTTTCAGCCTTTTCTATTCATTGACTAGAGTCCATCATGCTCAAAATTTTCGGATCCAACATCGATTGAGAGAAAAATTCTAAATCTGAAACCGAGACCAATCCAGCAGTTTTAAGCACAAATCGTCTTCTGATCAGAATCAGTATTCATTTCTTCGGGATTATTGTTAACTATTAGTCCTGGTTTTCTTATGTCATACAGCTTTACTGATGGGTCAGCGGTACCAAATTATATTTTTATCTCAGCATTCGTTCGGTTCAAAACTGAGTCACGCTACTGTGACGAAAGCACTGCATTGTGATGTAACCACAGTTAAATCTGGGCTGAAACAATAAAACTCGATCGATTCAACTCGATCCGATCGACTACATACGATGGCCCTGACAAAGGATAATTAAATAATTTCACTTCTCGAACAACCAATATTCATTACTAACAGAGACATTGCAAACTGGTTGAAGCAAAAATGAACTAGTCTTTAATGAGAGAAAGGCGTGGCAGTGACTAAGCGAATTAGGCATGAAATATGATCGACTCATGTCGAAGTCATTGCTCGTAGAAAGTTATCGAGAGAATCGTTTAAAATGAGAGCAAAATCACAAGGGTATCAACTGATCTTTTTTGATGAGACCACCATTCGCCTGAATTAAGTCCGAGGACTTGTTTGGAAGTTACAAAGAAAGAAAAGCTCGTATGAACCTTCAGACATCCTAGCAAAGCCGATGTTAGGAGTTGTTTCTCAAGTCAAAGTTTTGATTGCGTCGTCTGTTTCACATAAAATTGATGTGTGATATTCACAAGTATGATTTCTTGCCAACAGTTTGGAAACCATTTGGCTACGATTTGACGTTGTGAAAACAGCAAGAAGAAAACGACTTCGAACATTGGCAATTTCTAAGAATGGATTGATGAAGGAAAAAGTTCACAATTTATTAGTCGTTAACTTCTCCCATATTGATAAAAGTCAGAGTAACTGAAAATTACACTAATGATCAGAGAATTACTATGAGCTTGTACAAAATAAAAATGTTTTCGTTTGATTACTTAATTTAGTACAATTTGTATAGAGGAAGAGGCCTTTTTCTGCTAATGTATTTCTTTTATTTGTACTAATATTTTAACATAAAGTTTAAAAAACTATATTCTTTT